TACGGATGTCGACCTCACGGATCTATTCGGATACGGACACAAAAATTCGATCCATTGCCAAGCCAGATCGGATCCAGATGATGAAGAGTATTTATCTGATGATTTGGATGATGAAAATAATGAATAAATTATTTTTAAACGTATTTTTTGACATAACATTAAATTTTTTTTATTCTCGGTCAGTATCGTTTCTCGGTATCGGTCTCGGCTCAAAATGATGGTATCGGTCTCGGTATCGGGTTCTTAAGTATCGGTCAATCTCGGTCTCGGGTTGGCCAATACCAGTATCGTTTTGATCAACTCTACTTTCTACATAGGAGGAGGGTCCCTTTTTGTTAATAGATATTGTTAATTTTAATTTTTCCTCATACTATGTGTGTAATCTTAATCATAAAAACTTCTTTTTCTCGACGGAATCACTCATTATAGCGGAATCAGCCATCCAAAAATATAATGCTAACAATAAGAATGAGAGATTCTAGTTTATTTGCTCTTAATCGTTCCTGGCCTATTTTTTCGCGAACTCGTAAATGGGTACGAGTGCGAGTACTAATTTTGTACAAGCTTTCAAATACTTGTTGCATCTATGCGCAAAATCTTAGGCAATAATTGGTAATTTTCCATTGAGGGCCATACATTAAAAATGTTCAAAAATGTATGAATATGGGCAAAATACAGTAAATCCTCTAAAATAGCCCCTGGGGCTATCGACTCTATTTTTTTCGATGTCTAAATTTTTTAAAACTAAAATTTATCTACAAAAAAGGATGGTTTCTTCATCTCCAAATTCTCAAAGTTTTTCCTGTGGTGCTGAAAGGGTAGAAATCTAGTTTATTGTACACAGGAAATTTCAAAAATTTTCGCCTTCGACGCTCAAAGTGAGGATTTTTGTCTTTATGTCCTTGCAAAAATCAAAAATTATCGCTTACAGTGGTAAAAAGATATCAATCGAAATATAGAAGTATATGGTATAATTCTTAAGTGCCAAAAAATCACGTTTTTTTTGAAAAAGTTGGTTTTTATATCATAACTTTTCTATCAATACATAGGTCAAAAATTCTGATTTTTTGATATATTGTAGAGCTATTGATTCTCTATCCAATGATACCAAGAACAAGAAAAAGTGACCATTCCTTACTAAGTTATAAGTTCCAGACTGAACTGATCCAGGCTGAACGAGGTGCTCCGAAATTTAGGGACTTTGTTGGATTAAGTGATATCATGGATCAGGTCCTATCACTCGTTGATAAATTACATGTCGACAAGTGACCGAAATCGTTGTTTTTCACATTATCGACTTGTAAATTTTTAATGATCGATCCGTGGCGCGAACTTTGCGGACCCGAATTTTGCGGACCCGAACTTTGCGGACCCGAAATTTGCGGAACGAAAGTTGCGGACCCGAAGGATGCGGACACGAAGTTTGCGGACCTGATCTTTGCGGAACCAAGATTTTAGAACCGACACTTGAGTAAAAAGAAAAAATTAAAAATTTTATTTTTCGATGATCCCGGCAGAGTTTACCATGATCCGTACCAGATCAAGATTTTTTCCTGATTTTTCAAAATTTTTATCAATTTTTTATCTTTAAATTATTTCATAATTTAAACAATCGAGAAAATTTCTTGAAGAAATCATTTCTATGGCCATCTCATAAGGTCATTATGCCTGAATTCATCCTAATTAACGCCGCAGGCTAAAATTTTTGAAATTTCCGGGGTTCAGTAGACTCTATTGTCGGTCTCCAAATTTTTGGTCCGCAAATTTTAGATCCGCAAAATTCGGGTCCGCATAGTTCGGGTCCGCAAAATTCGTGTCCGCAAAGTTCGGGTCCGCAAACTTCGGGTCCGCAAATTAAAATCCGCAAATTTCGGCGCGCCGATCGATCATACTACTTAATCCATCCAATTGGAAAAAGATAGCGTTTATCGAAAGCTTTCGAATGATAAAAGAATTATTCGGAGTGGAGAAGTTATAGCTGATCAAAGTCGGCTGGTACTCAACTGGCCCGCTCCGTAGATTCATATGTTTATTTTCCGCCACTTTTTTTTATGTTGGCAAAATGATTTAGGTATTTCTCTAATCTCTTTCTTTTCATTCTTTTATTTTGAATATATAAGTTATTTTTCTCACTAAAACTTATTTGCAAAACAAAACACGCCAATATTAAACAAGAAATTCCCATATTTTTTAATCCTTTTAACATTTTGTTCATTAACCTACTAATTTTTCGGATTTCTATAATTTATTTAGAATTTCTATAATTTTGTACAAATAAATTCGCCATCACTAAAATTAGGAAATTAAAATTATTTTTCTATTTTTTATCACAAAATTTTAGATAACTTTAAATTTTTTTAAATATTTCATTTATGGAACCGAGACCTGTTGACAGTCCTGACCCTGTAAGTTTCAACAAATTCTTGTTCACGAAAGAGACCCTAACCCCAAAATGATTTTAACATTACTTAAGAAAATTTCTTTTGAACAAGAAAACCCTACTCTAGTACAAAATCTAAGCAGATAGGAATTTATAAAATTTAACTTATTTTTATAAATAAATTTTTAGTTAAAGCGCGCCGCTAAACGTCCGTTGCATGTGACTGGAAGTTCGGAAGAAGGGAGTTCATCCCCAAAGAAGAAGTACAACACAACATGGTTAAAGCGTTTAGAGGGTGACATTTGTCCAATTTGTTTGTCTGTAGTCTCTAATAAATGGGCTCGGCATTGTTCCACATCACACTCAGACTTTGTTTCATCTCCTTATGATAATGTGTTTATTGGCGAAGAAAAGGTCTTTTTTATTTTAAATGTCTATTTATTATCTACCTAGCAAACCTTCTTTAGAAACTATAGGGGTGGAAATCCGGAACGTCTTATATTACCGAAAGCTTGAAATACCAAACCCCCAAAAGCCCTTGAAATAACAAAATATGAAATACCAAAAAATCCTAAGATCGTAAATAACAAAGAAATTTTATTTGGTATGTTTTCTTCAGTTCGCTATTTCAGGCGTTTTGGAGGTTTGGTATTTCGAGCTTTTGTTATTACAAGCTTATACCATCACAACGGTTATATGTTAACTTTGGGCCCATTTATTTTTTATTAAAGTAAATAAAATTTTCTAGGTTAAGACGTTTGTTGTGAGTTGTGTTCTTGCTTTGGGAGGAACTAATGCTTATGGACAGCAATTAGCTGATATAATTGTATTTGCCGATAAGAATGGTTTTTACAAGTAAATTATTTTAAAAATTATATTTGATCTTTTAAAATTAACTTTTTAGGCAGGGTTTAACAAGACTTGAAAAGTATTTATCGGAAAGTGGGAAAGGTTTATTAAATTTTGATTTAAAATTTTGAAAATTTAATCAAGCTGAGCCATTACTTGTTCGTGAAAATGTTGTTTCTGTTCACTACGATGGGAATGGTGCGCCTGGAGTTGTTGTTGGAAATCTATGCATCAATAAAGCTATGAATATGGCTAGTAACTATGGATATGGAATTGTTACAGTTGAGAACTGTAAAGATATTGGCACTGCACAATTTTACACAGATATTTTGGCCACGAATGGAATGACAGTTAGTGAATTTGCTATTATCTTTTATTTTTCTAATTTGTATAGTTTTTTAAATAAGTGAAGAGCTTTCAATCACTAAACTTTCCTTCAAAAACCTTTCGTCACTGACATGAGACATTTTTTATCAGCACGATAATTTTGTTTAAAATGCCTAAGTGTGTATAATTTTTATTTTACTGTTTTAACTGTGAATCTAAATGGTAGGAAGCAGTAAAGGAATCCAAAATATCAATAACCGTAGATTCCTGTGTAATTCATATGGGGCAATTACATTGTCCTCTTTCATAACAGGACATTGCAGAGGTCTGCCAAATGTTTCAAAAACATTTACGAGTTAAAAGTGATGAGCCCTGATCTAGTTGAAAAATGAAAAAAATTTTTCTTCAGATGTGAGCCCAAATTAATAAAATATAAAATTATGTTCAAGTAGTCATTTTAGGCAAAATTCGGGTTATGTCTCATATCAATGACAAAATGTTTTTTGACAGGCTTAGTGAAAGCTCAGTAATGAAAAGTTGGTACTTTATGGATATGTCACCCCCCTCCTATTTTGAGTCTCAGAGTTTTCCTTATGCGTAGAAAATGGTCAGAGATTATTTTCTTCTCCATGTCAATCATTTTTTTCTTCTTCAAGTATTTTGCTTATTTATTTTGCCTTTTCACATATTTTTGATTAATTTCACTCATTTAATTTCCACATTTCACTTATTTTGCTTGAAGAAATTAAAAATTGACATGGAGTCGAAAATAATCTCTGACCATTTTCTACGCATAAGGAAAACTCTGAGACTCAAAATAGGAGGGGGGGGTGACATATCCATAAAGTACCGAAAAGTTAAATAACTTACCATGTTAAATGATAGGAACGTGTTTTATCTAAAAAATTAACATAGTCTGAGATAGTTTACTATTTATTATAATATCTTGGTTTAAAATTAATGGTAAAATAAATATTTTTACCATCGAATCCTCTTATTAGCATTTACTATATATTTTATTAAAATTTTAGGGATTCGTTTTTTCTGGTGATGACGGTCCTCTAAGTGTTGCAACAATCGATAAATCTTTTGAATTTTTAAATATCACTCCAGAATGCCGTGTTATTTTGTCTTGCTTTGCTAAAATCTCGGTATTTAATTATGTATTCTTTATTAATTTTTTTTTAAAAAATTTATATAATATTTCCGAACATCCAATTTTATACCTAAAATAAATAAATTCAATTTATTTTATTCTTTAGCACAAATGCTTCTTTGCCAAGTCTCCTAATCACGAATGTCTTCTGGACGATTTGGCAAGAATAATTTTATTTAATAGATAAATGTCCGATAATTCTGAATTATTTTTATGATTTTTATCAAAAATATTTTTTAGAAAAATTTTAATTTTCTTTAGACTTTGTCGGAAGATGCCATTGTTATTACAAAACAACGAAAGCAGGCTTATCAACAAAAATTTGATGATATGAAGGGATTGTGTTATTTGAAAGAAAATATTGCTAAGATGGTATGTTTTCGTTTGATAATTTAATATACATAAAATAAAAATTCTCTTTCAGAACGAAGATGCTATTACGCGTGGAATACATCCAGACAACTTGTTGGAGGCGCTTACAGGAGCGAGTGTTAGTGGTTCGACATAAGTTTTGTTTTGAATTTGAAGAACTTTTGATAAAAAATATTTTTACAATAAATAAAAATAATTGATTATTGTTTTGAACAATTAAAAAAAATTGTTGAAAATTTAAAATAAATTAATTACTGAAGGTTTTAGTGAATATTATTGAAGTACTACTATTAGCTAAGTTTTTGAAAAAACACAAATTATAATTAATTTAATTAAAAACTAGAATGTTGTGACTTATAGGGGGTTTTTGTTGGCTGGACCGATTTGGACAAATTTGGTATCATTCGAAAGAGCTAGCCGAGCTGAGTCGATTGCGGGGTGATAGAAGTGAATCCGACAAACAGGGACCGAGATACAGACCCCTGAAGTTTGAAAAAGATCGGGGTTGTAAGCTCATTTTGGGTAAAAATTCGAAAATGCAAATAATAGCTCATTCGACTCAGTCGTCGAGCTGAGTCGAATGACACCTAAATCAGCTCGATATCTTGATTCTGAGCCAAGATAAACAGGTTCAAAATGATTTTAGTGTTTCGTTGATTTTAGTGTCATTCGACTCGACGAGCATAGTCGAATGAGCTATTATTTGCATTTTTGAATTTTTCGCCCCAAAATGAGCTTGCTCCCCCCTTCTCTTTTTCAAACTTCAGGGGTCTATATATCGGTACCTGGTTGTGGGATCGACTTCTATCACCCCGCAATCGACTCAGCTCGGCGAGCTCTTTCGAATGACACCTCATTTGTCCAAATCGATCCAGCCAACAAAAACCCCCCTATAAGTCACAATACCCAAAAACTACATAACAGACATTACAATCGCAGATAGTCTATCTAATTTGCTTAAGTAATGACAAAAACGTTAAAAACTTCGTTCTAGATGGGTAAACTAAAAATTTTTGTTACTTTGTTCATATCCCGCCCCTCCCTCACCCATATTTTAGTCTCAGATTACTTTTCCTTTTACTGCCAATCATTCATTTCCCTCAAATACTATAAGTAAAATGCAAGCTTTTAGGAAGGAAAAAATAGACGGTAACAGCAAAAATTTATAAAAAAGGAAAGTTGACAATTCCCAGGCAGAAAAGAATAAGAGGAAAATTAATCTGAGACTCACAAAAGGGTGGGGACGAAATGGCGCGCCGAAATTTGCGGAATTTAATTTGCGGACCTGAAATTTGCGGACCCGAAATTTGCGGACCCGAAATTTGCGGACCCGAACTATGCGGACCCGAAGTTTGCGGACCCGAACTTTGCGGACACGAATTTTGCGGACCCGAACTATGCGGACCCGAATTTTGCGGATCTAAAATTTGCGGACCAAAAATTTGGAGACCGACAATAGAGTCTACTGAACCCCGGAAATTTCAAAAATTTTAGCCTGCGGCGTTAATTAGGATGAATTCAGGCATAATGACCTTATGAGATGGCCATAGAAATGATTTCTTCAAGAAATTTTCTCGATTGTTTAAATTATGAAATAATTTAAAGATAAAAAATTGATAAAAATTTTGAAAAATCAGGAAAAAATCTTGATCTGGTACGGATCATGGTAAACTCTGCCGGGATCATCGAAAAATAAAATTTTTAATTTTTTCTTTTTACTCAAGTGTCGGTCCTAAAATCTTGGTTCCGCAAAAATCAGATCCGTAAACTTCGTGTCCGCAACCTTCGGGTCCGCAACTTTCGTTCCGCAAATTTCGGGTCCGCAAAGTTCGCCCACGGACGAACTATGAACAAAATACCAAAATTTTTAATCATGGAGATGAATTTTATATATTTGAGCGTTTAATCTAGTTGAGCCGTTTCGGGCGATTTTTTAGTACATATTAAAATCGACATTCGAAATTTTTAGATTAAAATTTTTAGAAACAATGAAAAAGACAAAATTTGGGCACTTTACATTTTAGAAAAAATTTAATTTGGCTTTTTAAATTATTATACAAGCTTTGCTTCGTTCATCAATTTTACCCGCCAATAAATTATTCTTTTCAGCAAGTTGTAATAAATGCTCATTTAACTAAAATATATTATTTTAAATAATTTTTTCAATTTTATTTTTTACCTTAGCCCTTTCTTTATCTCTATCAAGTGCTTGACATTGATAAAGAGTAATACGATAAGTTCCTAAAAAATAAATAAGTCTATTTTCAAAATTTGAATTTTCTTTTTTTTGAATTTTGAATTTTCTATGTAAGGTTGTTCCTAGTCTCATAGTGATAGTGTTGCGCCCGAACCCCGGGCCGTTTCTATTGGATTAATACTAAAACCAAGCATTTCTCGCATTTGATGTTGTAAAATTATTTTAGAAGTATTGCAAAAAAATTTTATATTTTTTTGGAATTTAAAAACCACCCTTAACTTGAGAGGGAACAACGATCAGCTAATTTATTATGTAAATATATATTTTAATTTAAAGTAAATCTAACCAATAACAGGATTTCTAGCTCCTTTACTTTTAGCAACACTTCTAAGCATTTCTTCTGTTATTCCATAACTTTGTAATTGGGACCAAACAAGTCTTTCCAATTTACAATGGGCCAATGAATGCTCATTTGGATTTAAAGACAAATTTACATAAGAATCGGGAAATTTACATTCACTTAGCCAATATGTTCTCTAAATTATTTAATTAAATTTATTTTTAATATTTAAATGGAATTTTTAAATTTTTCCAAAAAGAGAATAAACTGTTGTCTTCATGTTTTTTTTAATTTGAAAAATTTTTTTAAGTAACTGCCACACTAAATATTAGATGGAATTTGTTCTAAGTAGAGGTCGGAAATTTTGAAAAGTCTGGACCAGTTCCTGGACTCTGGATTTTGATTTTTGACCTGGACTGGATCTTGGGCCTGTAGTCCAGGAAAAACCCAGGCCCAGGAAAAACCCAGAAAGGTCAAAAAATGCCGGGGCCTGGACTCTGGGTACAGGAAAAACCCAGGAAGGTCAAACCCAGCTCGATCTCTAGTTCTAAAATACAACGTTTGTTTTATTCTCTCTCAACTTTCAGTCACTTCCAAAATATTTTTAAATACCTTAAGTTCCAAAATATTAGCCCTTCTTTTAGCGTCCAATTCAAGCATTCTAGTAATTGAATGTTGTGCAAATGTTGAAACTTTTTTTGAAATAATTTTTTTGAATATTCTCTTTAATTTAATTACCATAATCAGGCATATAATAAACCCCTTCCAAAATATTTCTTTTTAAATCAGAAACAGTTTCTCCACGAAAAGGAGTAACACCAACAAGCATAAAATAAAGAAGTATTCCCTTAATATTTTAATTTTATTAAAAAAACTTTTTTTTAATTTCCTACCATCGCCCAAATATCAACCATCGGGCCAATATATTTCTTTAAAAATAAATTAAAATTATTTTAAAAAATATTTTTAAAATAAATTTACTTGATCTCGAAATAATTCAGGTGCAGCATATGGGGGAGAACCACAAAAAGTATTTAAAAAGGAATCGTCTTCGAATTTACAACTAAAGCCAAAATCTCCAAGTTTTATCCAGCCTTTTTTTAATTTTTAAATTTAATTAATTATTAATATTTACCAGGATGTGAAAGAAAAACATTTTCTGCTTTAATATCTCTATGACAAATATTTTTTGAATGAAGGTGGGCAACTGCTGAGACTATTTGGGCTGTTAATTTTTAATTTTTATTTAATTTTATTTTCCTTTAAAAAAACCAAAAATAGGTTTAGCAACTTCTTCAGTCAATTTTCCATTATCGTGTACATAAGTATATAATTCCCCACCCCCCGCATATTCCATAACTAAATGGACTTTAGATAATGTAGCCACAACTTCAAATAATCTAATAATATTTGGATGGTGTAGTAACTCCATATTATCAATTTCTCTGTTTAAAACTCGTTGAGCTTTTTGGTGACAAATTTTGGTGACAAATATTTAATTTTCCGATTTTGTATATCTTTCCCAAAAAGATTCGTTAAGAAAATAAATTTTTAAGAAGAGTTACATAGCTTTTGGATGTTGCTATATTTTTCAGAAGGTTTTCATTTTAGCCACTCTAGGAAAAAAACTGGCTAATATGTAGTAGGTATATTGCTAACCACATTCACAAAGAAAGAATTGACGTTAAATAATAGTAAATGTATGTCAGTGAAGAAATTTTTGTTGTATCTATATTTAAATAAAAATATTTTTTCTTTAAATTATTTACTTTTTTGACTCTAATCAAAAAATTTTTGTTAATTCTACCTTAAAACTTTCTAAAATGGTCTTTAGACTTGTTAAAAATGGCAAAAGTAAGTAAAAAATAAATAAATTTTTCAGAAATAATTTCTAAAATTTATTTTAATCTTCCATTTAATTAATTTTCACAAAATGGAAATAAATTTGTTAGATTAACTAATATGTACATAGAAAATTAAACTTTTGCATAAATGTCCATTAGATATCATACCTAAAATAAATTTTACTTACCAGTCGACAAAATACCAGAAAATTTGAAAAATATTATAAAGTGCTAAAAATATGGCAAAATATGGCAAATATATAAAATAGGGCGAAAAGAGCAAAAATAGGGAAAATTTTCTATAAATAGGGTAAAAAGGCCTGTACCAGTTAAGTGTCATTTTTCAGATATTATTTTCTCATCACAAATTCATTACGTTCAATTCTTGCAAATTTTCTCGGTCCACGTTTGCGAATTACAGGGTGTTTCAACTAAGAAGCACTATTTGAAAAATTAATAACTTTTTATTATTTTGACAGATTTTAATAATTTTTGGTATTTTATATCTATAATCTATAAAGTTTTTTTTGATATAAAAATTATGTCGAAATTCGAACCCTAACCCGAGATAATTTTGTACTCTACCGTTCTGTTTTTCCCTTTTTCCGCACATGCATTCTTACTCCCCTTTGTTTTTTACAAGGGGCGATAGCATTAGAGTAAACACTAGGCGATAGACACTACATTTTCAATAAAGTATCCACTCTTCTCCATACGCAGGAAAATAAATGAAGTAAGATAGCACACAATGAAAAGAGGGAAAAAAGAGAACGGTTGAGTACGGATTTGAAATGAAGGGTTAGGGTTCGAATTTCGACATAATTTTTATATCAAAAAAAACCTTATAAATTATAGATATAAAATACCAAAAATTATAAAAATCTGTCCACGCACTAAAAAGTTATTAATTTTTCAAATAGTGCTTCTTAGTTGAAACACCCTGTATTTTAAATAAACTTAGAAGCAAAATAAATATTTTTGTTCTAATTTTTAAAAATGAAAATTAATCAACAAAAAAATATTTCATCAAAATTCAACAAAAAACAAAACAAACCAATTCCTCTTGAATTGCTTGTAGACATTTTTAAATTATCATCAGCCCCACGTGATATTAACAATTTATTTGAAAGGGAACGTCTCGAAATGTAAAAATATTTTTTATTAAATTAAAATCATCCAATAGAATGGCCGGCCATTCTATTTTTTAATCATCCTCCAGAGGCCCATTCAATTAGAGGGGACCATTCAAATGGTCAATACTGAACGACCAAAACACGGTCCAGAAAAATAATTCTTATTTGAAAATCAGCATTTTTAAACACATTAATAAGAATATTTTTAAAATAAATGGAGATTTTATCTCTGTACCGTGTTTCGGTCGATCCTTGATTTGGTAAGACCGTGTTTTATCCGTTCCGTGTTTTAGTCTCACACATATTGATACATTAACATAGTAAATTAACTAAAATAAATATAAACATGCTGAGATGTTTTTTTAAAGAGCATTGGGGCTAAACAAAAAAATTACTGATAAGATGGTGACTTACGAATTATTTATATTATATTGGAGAAACCATATTAAAGCAATGTTAACAACTTCTAGAATAATTTATGTGTTGTGCGAAAAAAAATTTGGTGAAAGAGAGGTTGGTACTAAATATTATATGTAAGTAAAATATATAGGTAATTAAAGGGTACTAATTTAGTTCCCCCCCCCCCCAGCCAGTTTTTTCGAAAATTATGTAAAAATGGTCAGTCTGAACAGCAATTGTAGAACCCATCGAGCTGTGTCGAATGACACCAAAATCAACAAAATCAGACTCGATTTGACCGAAATACAGACCCCTGAAAATTGAACAACCATGGGGGTGATTTTTCGAAATAAAAAAAGTTTACCCAAATGATAGCTCATTCGAAAGAGCTTGTCGAGCTGAGTCTAATGACAGCAAAATCAACGAAATCGGACAAGATTTGACGAAGTTATGACATTATTTAGACCTACCGGAGTCGACGATTTATGTCATATCTTTGTCAAATCCAGTCGGATTTCGTTGATTTTGGTCTCATTCGACTCAGCTTGACGAGCTCTTTCGAATGAGCTATCATTTGTACGGATTTTCATCTTTATGATTTTGTGCCCCTGTGGTTTAGGGGTCTGTATTTCGGTCAAATCGAGTCGGATTTTGTTGATTTTGGTGTCATTCGACACAGCTCGATGGGTTCTACAATTGCTGTTCAGACTGACCATTTTTACATAATTTTCGAAAAAATTGACTGGGGGGGGGGAAACTAAATAAGTACCAATTAAAGTAATTCTAAGTTTTTAAAAAATTAGGAAGAGGATGATAAAAGATAAATATTTGTGACAAAACATGAATTTCCAAAAATTTACTGACGAGTAAATTTGTCCGATAGTCGGAAATCCTCGGATATCTGGATCCGAAAACATTACTGACGAGAGAGAAATGAAAGCTAATAATTAATTAAAAATCTACTAAATACGATTGGGGTTACTAAAAAAACTACTAGTGTTTTCTTTACATAAATCTATTGTTTAGAGGAAATAAACAATTTTTTCAGACTAAATTATTTGTTGGAATTGAAGCGAAACAAATTCATAGTAGATCAGAATTAGTTCAATGTTTTTTGCGCATAAACGAACGTGCAGAAGAAACGGTGAATTTAATAAAAGTATACAAATAATATAAATATGGGGAAAATTTAGAGGAATATACTAGTGATAAAAATCCCATACTTATTTTATAATTTTCAAATTTCATTAGAAACTGAAAAAATTACCTACTATATTAGTATGTACCAGTGCTGGGTATGGCTCCGGGAACTAGCTCCGGAGCCCGTTCCGGAGCCAAGATTTTGGAAACCCCGGAGCCGGAGCCAAGAATTTGAAGTGCCCGGAGCATACACCCCTAAAGATGTGTTAGAGAAAAAGAAGTAAGCAAAGATGGTAGGCGTGAAAAAAAAGGAAGAGAAAATTGAGACGGGTAAAAAAGATTTTCTTTCCTTTCATTTGCAAAGTTGGTGTGGTTGAATGGATAGTGAGTTAGGTTCCGAGTTTTATCCAATTGTAGATTCGAAATATATTACTACAAATAATTAAATAATTGTTTTAATTTGGAAAATAAATTTTCTTTTTCAAAATTTTCGCATTTTTTTATTAAATAAAGCTGGATAAACTTTTTAAATTGATTAATTTTAGTCTCTTTTTTTTAAAATTTTTCAAAATTTTCGCCTACGGCGCAAAAAAGGAAGATTTTTGGCTTAAGGGTTGTCCAAAATTTTGAAAATTTTCGCCTGCGGCGCAAAAAAGGAAGATTTTTGGATCCAAATCTCCTTAACTCCCCCCCCCCCCGAATCGCCCTTAATCCACCTAAATCACAAGATAATCCACACAAATCTCGCTTAATCCTTTGACACCCCCTCTTAATCCTCTGATATCACCAGTGGTTGGAATTTTGAAAATTGCTCGTACTCGTATTTTCGTACATGCCTTATTTTTTCCTCGTACTCGTACTCGTACTTGCCTAATTTTTTTTCTCGTACTCGTACTCGTACAAGCCCCATTTTTGGCCTCGTACCTCGTACCTCGTACTCGTACCTCGTACTTTCTCGTACTTGAGAAAAAAGCAAAAAATCGAAGATTTTTGCAAATTTTTAGGGTCAACTGGATATAGTTCTTAATTTTTAAGGCCGTATACGATAATTTTTGATTCTTGTAAGAAGCCATAAATCCTCCTATTTCATCCATTTTCTGCGCCGCAGGCGAAAATTTTGAGCATTTTTATGTCCATGGACAATATTTCTTCCAAGGATTGGTCAGTTAACCCGAAACCCGTATTTATCACAACCCGAAACCAGACTTGTGTATTTTTCAAAACCCTACACGCTCTATTTTCCATCAAATCCCTTTCTGCGCCGCAGGCGAAATTTTGAGAATTTTGGAGGTCCTTAAGTCAGATTTCTTCCTTTTTTTACCGCCGGAGGCGAAAATTTTGAAAAATTTGGAAGGCCAATAGCCAAATTTCTTCCTTTTTTTTCCGCCGGAGGCGAAAATTTTGAAAAATTCATGATTAAATTAAAATTTTTAATGTTTTTCAAGTCTTAAATATTTATAAAAAAATAAATTTTAAATTTTAAAAGCAAAATAAAAGTTTAAAAACATTTATTTTTGAAAAGAAAAATCTTCCAAGCCTCAAATCCAGCCCGGGATTCGAACCCAGCACTACCAAAATATACATGTGAGTGAATTCAGTCAACCTAACCACTTAACCATCGACCAACAAAATGAAAAGGGGAGAAATTAAAAATATTCCTTTCACTTTTCCTTCAAAAATTTAATGTCAAAGTACGAGAGGTACGAGTGGTGTTGCTCGTACTCGTACTTGGCCTGTTTTATTTTCTCGTACTCGTACTCGTACAGGCCTTATTTTTTTCTCGTACTCGTACTCGTACCTGCCCATTTTTTTTGCTCGTACTCGTACTCGTACTTCGTACACAGGTACGAGTACGAATTTTGGTACGAGCTTCCAATCAGAGGTGCACGAAACTTTTTCGTTTCGTTTCGTGTTTC